CAACATGCACATTGCTGCTGGAGGAGCTGGGGGCACTTGCTGTCCCTTGCAAGCATTTACAGCACAGCCTTGCAGGCCAAGCTGAAACTGTGACTTTCCTTTGCTCAGCAGCAGAACCGACTCCCAAATGTAGCCAAGAAAACCCCAAATAACCTTTTCACATCTTTTCCTGCCTTATCATTGCAGAGCTCCTTTAGGTCAGGCACCCTTTAGTCATATTTTGAGGTTTTTCCACCTGTTCTTGTTCTGACATCTAATGTCCCTCTCCTTGCTACAGAATGTCCTCATCTCTTCTTTGCTGCGATTTTTTTGCCTGTTTTCCTCATTTTACCTCCCCTGGGTCCTTTTCAAACTCCTTTCCCCCTGCCTGCTGTCAGGCTGCAGCGCCTGCCGTGTAGAGGGGTAAATAAGATGCAGCTCATTCAAGTCCCGTCAGCCTCCTTAGAAGATCATAAGGCTACAGCCATACTTCGGCAATCGTTAGTTAAAACAGTTGCCATTAAAAATGCCAGCAAAATAGCTGTTGGTTGAAAGTACAGTCATTAACCTTATGTTCTTCTCTTCCTCCTCAGCAGAGATGGATATACATTGACAGAGCTGTTCATGATGCAGCAAATTTTGTAGTAGTGTTACCCTGCTGACCCAATCAGGTAGACAAAATTCGGGTGGCTGGAGGTTATTTACAGCAAGAGAAGGAACTGACTGTGGAGGCAGGTAATTTTCCAAAGCAGTGTTGCTAATTTACAAAGAAGGTGCAAAGTCCTGCAATGAAAACCCCAAGAAATGAGCATTTTCTGGCTCACACCACCTGTGTTATTCCCACGTACAGAAAAGCTCTGGTGGTGTCAGCTTTACTCAGGCCACACGTAAGTCCTGGTCCCTCCTTCATGGCACAGTGCTCCCAACACAACCCCCATGCAGCCTCTCCCGTGTGTCACAGAGCCTTGCTCTGCATGCACAGCGCTGTCTCTTACAGCTAATTGAAGTGAAAGTCTCTGGTAAAATCTGGAGAAAAAAAAAATCAATTAAAAAAAATTTAAGCTTGAAGCAATAATATTATCAGGAAGAAAGATGTGTTGTCTCCCCAAGCCATCACACTCAGTGTTAGGAAATACTACTCCTTAACTGAAGATGCTTTAAATCTCTGCAGAATCTCTCCTTGTTTGAAAGTATTCCTCACAGTTGCACCAATATGCTCTAGATAAATCTCCAAATAATTGCTGCATAGCTCAGATTTTAATGTTGCTGTGATCTAGAGTGGAGTTTCTTTGCCATAGATGTTACTGTACATTAAATGTACATGCAAGTTCCAAACCCCCTGTTTGGAAGAGGATAAAGCCAGGCTGTGGGCATGCATGCTGTTCGGGAAACATTTGTATTTTATTCACAATCCACAAAATTCTTTCAACCCAAAAAAGTTGTAGGAAGAGATTCATTTTCAGATATCCCCTGGGGAGACTTCCACAGTTGAGCTAGTCACCTTGCACTCCATTTATAGACAAACTCAACCATTTTTAGCACATGATTGATCCAATCTATTTTAGAGGTCCTCGTTGGGTTGGGAGGCTCCATGCCTCCAAAGAAGCTGGTTTTCCCCCTTCGCTGTGCCTGGGGCAGAGGGCAGTCAGCTCCAAAACCAAGGTCCACCTGGCAGAGGTCTACATCTGTCAGCGGATCCCATCTCTGGCCCCTTGTTACCGATTCACACAGTTTTACAAGTTGGAAATAATTTGGCACATCAGGTTTTATAGTGACTTATTATTCATGGCACCCAGACAGCCATGGAAGGAGAGAGCTGCAATGGGTCACAGCATATGGCAGGACTGGGGAAACGGGGATGTGTGCATGGTTACTGCCAACCACTCCCACGGCACGGGTGCCACGCTGGGTGACAGCTCCTGAGCAAAAGATTTGTGAATCCTCAGCCTCGGGGGTCTGTGCGTTGGGACAGGGGCCAGCAATGTGCTCTCAGTGGGAAATAAATGCCCCTAAGAGAAGCTGTCACAGAGCTGCTGCAGTCAGGGAGCTAAGTGAGAGCAAATCTTGGGATACTAATTAATCCCCCTTTAGGAAGAAATTTATTAGGCAAATGCCTCACATTCATATGCACATCTGCAGTCAACAGAGAAGCTTTTACTTTTTTTCCAGCCCAGTAAAGCGGGAGGGTGGGACGCTGCCGTGGCCAAGCAGCCGGTGGTGCTGGGGGGGCTCAGCCTGCTCTGGGCATCTCAGGTCAAGTGTGGAAAAGACAGTTGAAATGACCAAGGTCCAGGCTGGAGGAGAACCTGGAGGTAGCTAAGAAGAGCTTTTAACCTGAATACCTTCCTTCCTCAGTCGCTGATGGAGACATTGCAAAGGACAGGGTGGGAGGAAGCCCTGTCAGCCAGCCTCATCCTGCTGGGATGAGCCATTCCGGAATCACTGCATTAATATAACCTGGGGCAGTTTTTGCTGTCAACCAGTTAATTGCTGAGGTTGATTGATACAGCCTCTGATGAGCAAAGGATTGTGCCTGCTTGTAGCTTTTGCAAAAGAAAGATAGAGTCAGCAGCACCTCTCCTTGCCCAGAAGATACTGAGCAGTGGGTCAAGAAGGTTTGCAGGGGACCTGCCTTGGTGTTCCCCTCTTTAAGTATAGATGCTCTGCAAGAACAACTGTTCGTCTCAAATTGTTTGCTTCGTTTGAGGTCACATAGATCTCATTACTTCAAGAGTTAGTGTAAAATCTAGTTGGAAAAAGATGTTTCAAGTCATTCAAAGCCCAGGGTTGAATAGAAACTCTAAAATTTCAGACCAAGAGCAGGATGTGAGCTTCCCAGTAGGGGAAGTGATAATTCTGTTGTACATGCCGGGTGCTTCCTACCACCCATAAAGGGGAGTGACTCCCCCTGACCCAATATGAGAGCTGCAGTTTTGGGAAGAATGCATAATGACGTTTCTAATGCTTACTGGTTAGATGTGCTAATCCAAAGCAAAATCAGTCTACTCAGTAAGAAACAAAACATGTTTCTTACTGAAATACTCAGACATCCTCAGCCCTGAGAGCCGCGCAATCTGTCCTGGTTATCCCAGTTTTTTTTCTCAGCCATACCAATGGATCAAACATCTCCACAAGCTCCTTCTTTACACTGAGCAGTGAGAGCTGCTGAGAGCACTGGCATGACATTCAGACTCTAAACTGTCCATCTTAATTAAATTAGTTCTATCCATGAGGTTCAGCAGTCGGTCATGACATGTGGGAGATTTACCCTCAGGTCCTGGAGGAGCGGGAGTAAACCCAAGAGCAAAATCCTCAGTGACTTGGGATGACAACTGCGTTCTTAAAGACTGAAAGCTCCTGGCAGAGCAGTTGCCTTGCCACCAAGCTGCTGTTAACAATATCCTTTTTATTCCAGGGGCCCAAATGTGCCGTCTGAGAACCTGACTGGCTTTTGCAATGGATTTCTGCGAGGCCCTTGATTTTCACTGACATTTGCTTCGGTCAGTCATGGCTGTCTGCGCCTTCCCCATCCCTCCTCCCCACAGTGCAGCGGCACCCCTAGAGCCTCCCTTCACCCCCAGTTACAGAGAAAGCCGAAATCCTGGCTTTGCAATGAGAAAGGCAAAGTTTGGCATTCAGACAGCGGGGAAGGACTCAGGAAATCTGGTCTGGTGCCTGTGTCTTCTTCGAGTTACTGCATGATGGTGCATAAATCACTGTGTCCCTCTGTGCCTCAGTTCCCTCTCTGTGGCTGAGGATGACGGTACCCCCTCACCTCAGGGGAACAGAGGGTACTAATTACTGTTCAAAAGATGCTCAAATGTGGCAGCATAAATAGTAAACAAGTATTTAGTGCCTTTCTAAAGATAACTCATCTGCAAACACTCAGTTCCATAAACTGGGACTGGAACTGGGAGCTCCCCTGCCTGTTGTATAACTGCAGTGTTGGGTTTTTTAAAGACATGGGTTGTTTTTATTACTGTAGTTATTTCATAAATAAGCAATGCATCTGACTAGAAAGGATAAAACAAAAATAAATGCCTACTTAACCCAGGCATATGGAAACTAAGTGTTATTTTAATTATATTTTTGAAACAGCAACCTCCTATCTTTGGCCCGAAGCTTTCAGAATTCAAACGCAAACACTGCTCTGATTTTTTTTTTTTTCCCATCCACAGATTCTGCCTTTGCATTGGTGAATTTGGGGCTACCAGGTATCTCCTGAGTGCAGGAGTCCAACTGATCCTTGCTGAGGTGAGACATGACAGGGGGGATGTGGGGATGCTGTATGTTTCGTGTCTCCCCGGGGGAGGATCTCCTTCCCGTGGGAGGCTCCACTCTCGAGCAGGAGATACTGCTCTTTTGGCTAATCCATCCACAGAACAGCAAGGGTGCTGCTGTACCTGCGCCGGGCCGTCTTCTGTAATCGTACATTTTGATCTCCGGTTCAGACAGTCGCAGGCTTTGGGAGCTGGGGGTTGCTCTGGCTGCAGTTGCAGAATATGCTCGTTAGAAATGGGAACTCTGCAGGCACTTGAGCCTGCTGCTA